AAAAATGCCAATAAATTTGCATACCAAATATCATTGACATTAGCAGTTCATCTTAAACTGATCTAATCACAAACTAAAACATGTAAACTAAGCAAAAGTTTCAAAGTCAATAGACCATGACTGAGGGGGCAGAGCCAAATAATCTCCATGGAAATGAGATATGCCAATGCTTATACAACTGCATACCAAATATCTTTGACCTACCACTAGTGGTTCCCCATAAACTGACCTAATCACAAACTAATACATGTAAACTAAGCAAAAGTTTCAAAGTCAATAGTCCATGACTGAGGGGGCAGGGCCAAATAATCTCAATGGAAATGAAATGTGCCTATGGTAATACAACTCTATACCAAATATCATTGACCTACCACTAGTGGTTCCTCATAAACTGACCTAATCACAAACTAATACATGTAAACTAAGCAAAAATAAATTTGCATACCAAATATCATTGACTTAACATTAGCGGTTCATCTTAAACTGATCTAATCACAAACTAATACATGTAAACTAAGCAAAAGTTTCAAAGTCAATAGACCATGACTGAGGGGGCAGGGCCAAATAATCTCCTTGGAAATGAAATGTGCCAATGCTAATACAACTGCATACCAAACATAATTGACCTACCACTAGTGGTTCACCATAAACTAAACCTAATCACAAACAAATACATTGTTGACGCCTACGCCGGAAACAGCATACCTATGTCTCGCTTTCTGAGAAAAAAATTTGTATAATAATGTCATTTAAGGGCAATAACTCATATAAGGAGTCAACTGAAGATTTCGCTATGCTGAATTATTTGTAGATCTTGTCTTGCTGATCATTTTCTATCTTCTTATTATAGTGTTCTAGATACATTTAATAGGTATCAACACAAAAAAAAATAGTAAAATTAGTCATTAAGGGGAATAAATCCAATAGGAGTTGACTGATGATTTCGGCCATATTAACTTGTTTGAAGATCTTGTCTTGCTAAATCATTTTTGCTATTTTAAGTTTCCTTCTACCTTTTAAAGTTTTCAAGATAATAGACAATAAAATGCTTCGCTGGGCGCAGCTTGATACGACCGCAGAGGTAGAACCCTGAACAGTTGGGGCAAGTATGGACACAACATTCAAGCTTGATACAGCTCTGAATTTGGATTGTGATTAAATATTTGACACAGCATAGGTTTCTGACACAGAAAGAATGTGGTCTAAGAACTTGAATTTTTTTAATTTACCTATTATGGTCCAATGTCCAAAATCAAAATACATGGTTAGATTCAGCATATCAAAGAACCCCATATATTCAATTTTTGTTGAAATCAAACAAAGTTTAATTTTGGACCCCAACTTGGACAAACTTGAAAACTGGGCCCATAATCAAAAATCTAAAAACATGTTTAGATTCAGCATATCAAAGAACCCCAAGAATTCAATTTTTGTTAAAATCAAACTAAGTTTAATTTTGGACCCTTTGGGCCTTAATGTAGACCAATTTAAAAAACGGGACCCAAAATTAAAAATCTAAATACACGGTTAGATTTGGAATATCAAAGAACCCCAATAATTCAATTTATGATGAAATCAAACAAAGTTTAATTTTGGACCCTTTTGACCTCAATATGAACCAATTTGATAGCGGGGCCCACAAATAAAAAATCTAAATACATGGTTATATTCAGCATATCAAAGAACCCCAAATATTCAATTTGTGTTGAAAAAAAAAAAGTTTAATTTGGACCCCAATTTGGACCAACTTGAAAACTGGGCCCATAACAAAAAAATCTAAAAACATGTTTAGATTCAGCATATCAAAGAACCCCAAGAATTCAATTTTTGTTAAAATCAAACTAAGTTTAATTTTGGACCCTTTGGACCTTAATGTAGACCAATTTAAAAAATGGGACCCAAAATTAAAAATCTAAATACACGGTTAGATTTGGCATATCAAAGAACCCCAATAATTAAATTTTTGATGAAATCAAACAAAGTTTAATTTTGGACCCTTTTGACCTCAATATGAACCAATTTGATAGCGGGCCCACAAATAAATAATCTAAATACATGGTTAGATTCAGCATATCAAAGAACCCCATATTCAATTTTTGTTGAAATCAAACAAAGTTTAATTTTGGACCCCAATTTGGACCAACTTGAAAACTGGGCCAAAAATCTAAAATCTAAATACATGTTTAGATTCAGCATATCAAAGAACCCCATATATTCAATTTTGTTGAAATCAAACAAAGTTTAATTTTGGACCCCAACTTGGACCAACTTGAAAACTGGGCCCATAATCAAAAATCTAAACACATGTTTAGATTCAGCATATCAAAGAACCCCAATAATTCAATTTTTGATGAAATCAAACGAAGTTTAATTTTGGACCCTTTGGACCTTAATGTAGACCAATTTGAAAACTGGACCCAAAATAAAAAAAAAATCTAAATACACGGTTAGATTCAGCATAACAAATAAATAAATGTGGTCAAAGATTTTACAAATCTAATGCGCCATACTGTGCAATTAAAGATAATTGAAAAAGATCTTGAAATTTTTCAATATTTGAAATTTGAAAAAAAAATAATATTTGAAGAATAATTCTTTTTAATTTCTGAAATCTGAAATGAGAAAAAATTGACCCCCCACAATTTCTTTTTACCCCCTCCCCCTTTTTTTCCCCCAAAAAATTCTTTCCCTCAAGATATGGTCATAATCTCAATTCAAATTTCCAATGGAGTTTGCAACCATAATTACCCATTTAAATTTACCATAGTGCTAACTTAATCTATTTTATAATAGAATTTAAAATATAGTGTAAAATCTTTCATATGGATATTTTTGTAAAAAAAAAAGATGCAACATTTGCAGATATTTTTACTGGTCTTCCTTTATAAATATGCATTTCTTTAAACATAATTTAAAAGCAGTGTAAGGGAAGTAACCAAAACGTTGTATTTGGATTACCTCCCTTACACTGTTTTAAATTATCTTAATTGTTCATTAACCATTACTTTATACAAAATTTAAAAGCAGTGTAAGGGAGATAATTTCAATGATGTATTTGATTTATCTCCCTTACACTGCTTTAAATTATGTTTTGTACTAAAGTATTTGTCCATTAACCAGGACAACCTTGTTTTTCCCCCTTTTTTGCCCCTAATTCCTAAACGGTTTTAGCCATAACCCCCCCAAAGCAAATCTTAACCATCCCTTTGTGGTATGGAAACTTGTAGTATAATTTCAGAGAGATCCATACACCGTTCCACAGTTATTGTCTGGAAACTAGAAAATGCTTATTTTTGGCCACTTTTTGGCCCCTAATTCCTTAACTGTTGGTACCATAACCCCCAAAATCAATCCCCACCTTCCTTTTGTGGTATTGAACCTTATGGTAAAATTTCAAAGAGATCCATTCACTTAAACTAAAGTTAGAGTGCGAAAACCAATGTGTCTTCGGACAACGACCCCAGACAGCGACGCCAACGTCATACCAATAAACGACCGCAAAAATTTTTTGCGGTCGTATAAAAATGAAATAAATGGGGAATGTGTCAATGGGACACAGATGATGCCCCCGCTTGCATATCATATAAAGTTATAAAGGGATATAACTGAAGAACGGTAAAAGTGACACTACCCAAATTTGTACTTGATCTGAGTTTTGTGGTAATAAGTATTGTGTATAAGTTTCATAACATTTGGTTGAGGCAAACTTAAGTTAGAGAACAGAAACGAAATATTCAGCAATTTTTCCGTTTGTAAAGGGGCATAACTCTGGAACAGTAAGTGACACCACCAAAATTCAAACTTGATCTGTGTTTTGTGGTTATAAGCATTGTATATAAGTTTCATAACATTTAGTTGAGGCAAACTAAAGTTACAGAACGGAAACGAAAAATTCAGCAATTTTTCCATTTGTAAAGGACCATAACTCTAGAACGGTTAAAATGACGCCACCAAAATTCAAATTCGATCTGTGTTTTGTGGTAATAAGCATTGTGTATAAGTTTCATAACTTTTGGTTTAGGCAAACTAAAGTTAGAGAACAGAAACAAAAAATTCAGCAATTTTTCCTTTTGTAAAGGGGCATAACTCTAGAACGGTTACAGTGACGCCACCAAAATTCATCCTTGATCTGTGTTTTGTGGTAATAAGCATTGTGTATAAGTTTCATAACTTTTGGTTTAGGCAAACTAAAGTACGGGGAACGGAAACGAAAAATTCAGCAATTTTTCCATTTGTAAAGGGGCATAACTCTAGAACAGTTAAAGTGACGCCACCAAAATTCAAATTCGATCTGTGTTTTGTGGTAATAAGCATTATGTATAAGTATCATAACATTTGGTTGAGGCAAACTAAAGTTAGAGAACGGAAACCAACTTTGGGATGTACATACGGACGGACAAGGGTAAAACTTAATGCCCCCTCCGCTATGGCAGGGGCATAAAAAAAAAACAGTAAAATTCGTTGTTTTAAGGGCATTAACTTCTATAAGAAGCTGTCCGACAGTTTTGATTTAAATGGACAGAAGGTGCATCTCAACATTTCTGTCCCAATCAGATATTCTCTATCAATAGTGGTTTTCAAAATAGACCTAACCTCCATTTGACCCGTTGTATGTCCTCTTTTTAGTCATGTCAGCCACGTTGGTCGGAAGGCAGAATCATTGAACACATTTAAACTAGATACTCAAAAGCCAATTCTGGTTAAAAAATTCTGACAAGTAGTTCAGGAAAAATCACAGATATAATAGTGGGACAGAAGATGAACGAACAGACGGACAGACTCCCCCATCACTGTATACCCTCCTGCTTAAGAAATATTGTCTACAAAGGATCTTCATGAGAAGAAAAATGTGGCTGCAAAGGCATTCTTTAATAGATTTTTATTGAGGAATATAAGTCAATATTATGTTTAGATACCAGGTTAGCTATACAGGCTCCCTGATGAATCTAGATTCAGTAACTAATGGTTAGCTTTATTATATGACAAGAATTTATTAGAACTTGAGATACCATCTTTATTCAATTTCAAGCAACAAAACAAAGAGACAGAGGTAGAAACTATAACATGTAGGTTAAATCAACAGATCTGCTGTAAAACAACTCATTAAAATAAATAATACTAATATACTAATGTAAATTCAAAAATTATTGTGAGGTTTTTATTAATGTGAATAATGCGACTGGGTGAGTATCGCAATAATAAGAACTCGCATTCTGATATCTGATTAATATATCTGTAAGCAGTTTTTCCTGAAATCGCAATAATCAATCTTGTATTTTTGTCCATTCTTAATAAATCGCAATAATAAATGCACACAATAATTTCTGAATTTACAGTATACAATATTCTGTATCTAATCCAAATGATCTAGAGGCAGTATTTTGCAGTAATGTTTGTAAATGCAGTAAATTTAGTTAATAAGTGCCATTATTTTGCCACTATTATTACAACAATTTGAAAGCTGATTTTTTTAAATTACATAATAAATATGTTAATGAAGCCCTGCCATTACAGGATGAAACTGGCAAATACGATTTAACATACACCTTTGGAAAAGACATCTTTATTAAAATATAGTCACTGCTGCTAATATTTCCTTGTATGCACCAAGTCTAAATTGTCCTGCCTAGATTATTGCTATATTTATTAAGGATGTTGGCTGCTCTAGTTCTTGACTTTTTGTCAGATATTCGGAATCCTCTGGTTCTATCCATGTAGTGCCATTAAAAATTTTGCTAACCCCTATTTTTCTTTTCATAATTTAATCACAAAGAGTTTAACAAGCCATTTTTGAAAATCTTATCAAATCCTTGTTATTTTTTCATAGTTTTTGAAAGAAAAAGGTGCCAATGTTAAACGTATGAAAAATCTAGAGAAAATCATATCCCGCCAAATTTTCAATGGCTTATACCTCAAAAAAACAGACACGGACCTATAATGATTTTTTTGTTTTTTTAGTTCCTTTATTTATATACTATCAGTTTATAACAGTCTTTTATATAGCTTATTATATTGAAACAGAGTAGTGAACTTCCTTATATAACTTTTAGGTGTCAAACATGTCTGACCTGTACATCTGCAATGTCAGAATATTTAACCAATGTTGATCATTTTCATCATGCTTATCAGATCTACACCTAGTTTAATAACCAAAGTTAATGTTCTGATAATAAAAGTCACAACAATCCTATTAAGTATTTGAAAATGATATGCATAAATATCAGCTGTTCAAGACAGTATAAAGCTTTTTGAGACATAGAGAGTAAAATTTGACACAAATACAAGAAAAACCTGTGTAATTGTTGATCTGATAAACAGTTAAATGGAAGATTAGTTCTATGCATTTTAGTCTTTTCATATCTGAGTCGTGTCTGCCACGAACATATGAGACAACTATATCTAATTAACATAGAAGTAAAATTATTATTTAATCTTTTCTCTTATTCAAAAATGAGCATTTGTTTTGATAAAACAGGAACAGTGTCATTATCTCAAATTAGCCAGATGCAGTAACACTTTCAGAAGATGTTTTATGGATTTGGAATGGAATATCAATTGTTCCTATTTTTCTGTCGACAAACTGATACCTTATCACTGCTTTCGTATGGCAATATGAATCGCTGTACTATCTTGAGTGGGGGTACAATTTTCTAAGATATAATAATATTACATTCAGAACTGATCAAAAGTTGTATAACTATCATAAACCATTACCAGAAAACTTCCTGCCATGATTGTAACAATCGAATTAACCTGTGTCTGCCAATTCTATTCTGATATTATAGGAAGCACAGTAAAAAATGAACATACAAGTTGCTGCCCAGTGCCCAGTTAGACTATTATAGATTAAAACTTACCAGTACTAAATAAATAACTTTTTTCTACTCATCTCAGTCATACATCAATTAACTAAATCAGTACAGAAATCAATTTACAATGGTTATATCTGGTAGCAAGTCTGCATGACCAGCAATTACCCTGTGTTATAGTATCCTGCAGGAAAGATTTGTGTAACCAGATGAATATGCAAATCAGTCTAGATCAACAGAAAACATTTTCTTTAAATCTTATTGAACAGATATCTTATATGTATGTAGTGTTTTTCCCATTTAAATCCTTTTGGATCTGAAAAATGAAAAAGAATCAGAAACAACCTGGTTGCAGACTAGTTGGAAGGTACATTATAGCTGTTGCACTTTCATTTGAGTCATTAGTTTTAAGTAAGACTTGTTGTAAATTGTCTTCTGTTGTTTCAAAAACTTCCCCCTCTGTTGTGATGATATCTTGTACTAAAGTGGCAGGTTGGGAATCAAGTGTCTGAAAGATCTGAGGTACAACCGTCTCAACATGGGAAACACTCTGGGTTGTTATGATGTTTGTTGGCTTCTCATGTATTCTAAGGTGTCTTAACAGTGCAAACTTTGTGTTGAACCGTTTCAGACATGAACTACATTCAAAAGATCTTGGATTATGATGAATAGATTTTATATGTTTCTGTTGACAAGATTTTGTCTTAAATGAAGTTCCACATATATCACATAGATACTGACGGATGTTAGAATGCATAGCCATGTGTTCATTCAAGTGGGTCTGAAAAAAAGAAAAAAATTTTTTTTTTTTAAATTTACTAACATTACCTTGTAAATGTAGTTTAAAATGAAACATTACAGTAGTGAAAACAAAAAGTAGTTCACATCCTCGTCCTTACTGAAAAGTTTTTTTTTAACAACCTGGAAATCTACAAATCTTTACACACAGTGATGAGTTTACATACAAATATACTAGTAAGTTTGAAAGGACAAAGTTGAAAACTGAATTGAACAGTAAATAACACAAAATGGATACTCTTAGTCCAGAATGTTGCTGAAAAGTGTAACCCTCAGTGAAATTAGAGAGTTCTCAAATATGTTCAAATAGTAATAAGCATATAGGTTAATTTTAAGTTCTTTTTTATGAATGAGTTGTGAGGTCAATTGACATGAATGACAACATTGAACACTGTGACATAATAACAAGCATTGTGACATAAGAAATGTAGAGGAAACTGCACAAATTTAAAAGTGGTCTTTCCTAATTTTTTATGTATATTATTTCTAGAAAGTTTGAAGGTTGTGGATGGAAAACTGTTTGCGAAGTTGATAACACAAATAAGTATGCCCAAGTCCCTAGCCAACCAATTTCTCCATACTATACGGGTAAGCCTATTTAAACCTGATATTCAAAATCATTGACGAAAGTAAAAAATCTTTAGAATTGATTTTCTTTGTGTCTTTTTCCTACGCGTATTAAAGAATATTAAAAATGTGGCTGTTCCAGTTATTTCTCCATTTTTTTTTCACTTTCTGTCTGATTTAAATACCTGGTGTTTAGGTATTTATTTCAATGTGTCATGTGTCCTACCCCAACTTCTTTGCAATCAATTATAAAATTTATATTATTTATGGAGTATCTGATATGATTAGGTTTTAAAGGGAGTTTCTATTGCTAAAGCGAGGGGTAAAATATCAGCATAAAGGGCCAACCCGTGGTAAAATCAATATAAATTCAAGCCCCCATGAATAATTTCTATTCTAATAGGGTAAAGACAGCAACTCTTTTGTTTCGAAGCTGTTCCCGCAATTGAACACACTATTAGTATTGAGGTAAAATACGAAGAAAACTGAATAAGTGACATGCTTAAATGATTTACAATAACATACTAAGACGGGTTTGGACGAAGTTGATTATCTTACTTTCATTTAAGAAAACAGGCTTTCAACAAATTTTTATCTAAGTAGTTTGTGTTTTCATGTTTTGACGACTTTCAGTTTTAAATTCCTGCATTTTCCCATAAAATGCTTATATTCTTACGTCATCTTTCAATGACGCGTCCATTTACACAATCTGACCTCGGATTTCTCATTCATAAAAAGCGAATGACGTGGGAGTAAGATTTAAACAGCCCACACAATCCATGACGTTGAAGATCAGCTGACATATCAATATATTCATATTTTACCACAGGTGTGTACTCAAAGCGTTTGAAGAACGTCATATTAGAATATTAAATATAAACTTACCTTTGATCTGAAAGGCTTTTTACATACTGTACAGTGGAAAGCATAGTTCCTGTTTAGTTTATCAACATGGGTTATTTTATGTTGTGAGAGAGCATCCTTCCTTTTAAATGACTGACCACAAATATCACATAAGAAAGGTCGATGATCAGTATGTACATTGTTCACATGTCTAACCAGATGTTCTTTCCTGATTGATTTATAGGAGCAGAGGTTACACTGGAAAGTCTGCTGTTCTTCAGTCTTCTCTTCAAATTGTTGTAAGGCTAGCATGATGTCACTGCTACCTGAACCACTCAGATCTTTGTGAAGTCTAAGATGAGCAGCGTAACGTGAAGGCATCATTGAAGAGTAATCACATTTGGGACATTTATAAATAGTTTTCTTTTTCTTTTTTGATATGGCCAAATCATGTTTGATTTTCATATGACGATCAAGACTAATAAAATCATCCGTAGTGTACTTACACTGATTACAATGCATGACATTTGAACTGTGTGTCATTTCATGACGTCGTAGTGCCCCATTTCGGATTGTCTTGTAATTACATTGTTTACAATAAAACATTTTTCTAACAGTTTCATGGAATTTTAAATGTTTAATTAAATGACTGTGACGTTTTGATTTAAATGAACACTTATCACAAAAGAACTTGAAAGGAGTTGCAGCTTCATAATCTTTCTTGGATTTCTTTTTCGTATTTGTTTTTGACTTGGATGGTTGCAATTCAGGGACTTCTGTCAGAAGAAAAAAATAAACAAAGTTAATTTTATAATGCATCACCAAATTAATAACTTTGTTTAGACATTATACTACATTACTTATTTTAAAATAAACTTTTTTGACTGTGCAAACTAAAAATGTAGAAGAAATGTTACATGAAACAAAGCTCTGTATAAACATATTTTTCCATTTTTTATGAAGTAGGATTTGATAAACATAGGTAATCCACTTACAGAGTTTAAAGGGGCATTAGCTACGAAATATAAAAAAAAAAAAATATGATATAAATTCACTTTTAACAGCCAGTTTGGTTCAGTTTTGTCAAAATAAGCAAAGAAACATCGCTAATGAATTATTCACTTACAAGTGAATAATCCGACCTCATTGAATCAGTATTCATGTGAACTTTAATTGATCCTTATAGCTAGAGATGGGTTACTCCTGAACTAGGCGTATATGACCGTCGACAGTCTTCTGAGGTCACCTCGATGGTTAATTAAATGGCGTCTAGACTAAAATACACACAAAATGCTGATACATACTATCGAGTCTATACATCATAAATTGTTTATTTTAGACTTTTTATAATTTGGATATGCGTTTGAGTATGTTAATAGTCAAATGTTCACTGTAAAAACATGGTAAAAATATGGTAAAAGACTCCAATGACCCTAAAACTTTATGGAAATGTCTTCACAGTCTGAACCCAAAAGTTAAAAATACACCATATGAATTAGCCACAGAAGATAACAATACAACTAAAAGTAAAAAATCAATAGCAGAAACTTTTAATAACTTTTTCACTTCCTGTGCTGAAAAATTAAGAGAACAAGGAAGTTATACACCTGTAAACAAAGCAGATTTCAGTAATCTTGGTAAATTTGTTAAAAATAAATTACATAAACATGATAAATTTTCTATACCACCAGTGATCATGAATGAGCTATTTAATGAGTTAACAAAACTTGATATAAACAAAGCATCTGGTATGGATAATATTGGACCAAAAATCCTAAGATTAAGCGCCCCTGTTATTGCATCACCTCTCACATACATATTTAACAGAATGATAGATACTGGTATATATCCTTCTTTACTGAAGAATGCTAAGGTAACACCAGTTTTCAAGGATGGTGACAAGCTTTTAGCAACAAATTACAGACCTATATCTGTTCTTCCAACTTTATCAAAATTAATAGAGAGGCATGTTTCTAATAACATGTACAAATACTTATCTAAACTTAAACTTTTACACCCTACACAATCTGGTTTCAGGCCGCAGCATTCTTGTCAAACTGCACTTATTAATATCATTGACAAATGGTTGCAAGAAATGAATGATGGTAATTTAAACCTAGCAATTTTATTAGATTTTAAAAAAGCTTTTGATTTGGTAGATCATGACATTCTTTGTTTAAAGCTTGAAATTTATGGATTTAGTGAGGCTATAGCTACTGTTAGTTTTTTCAAGTCATACCTGAATAACAGAAAACAGCAGGTAAACATTTGTAATGTTTACTCTGAACAACAACATGTAAAATTTGGTGTCCCCCAAGGTTCTATACTTGGTCCTCTATTGTTTGTGCTATTTATAAACGACCTTCCCTTATGCATTGAAAATTGTGAAACAGACCTATATGCTGATGACACCACTCTTCATAAATCAGGGAAAACATAGAAAATATACATGATGATGTTCAAGAAGATTTATACAGGGTTGAAGAGTGGTGCAAAATGAATAACATGTTCATTAATGCAAATAAAACAAAATGTTTGGTTACTGGAACAAAGCAGAAACTATCAATTCAGACTTATCAACCAAACTTAATAATAGATTCAAAAGTATTACAAAATTCTTCATGTGAAAAATTATTAGGTGTTAAAATTGACAGCACACTTAACTGGAGAAATCAAATTGACCAAGTTTGTGCTAATATATCATCCAGAATATACCTCCTTTCTAAAATAAAGAAATTTTTAGATATAAATGCAAGGAAAACATATTACAATGGGTATATTCTGCCCCTGATTGACTACTGCTGTATTATTTGGGGTGAATGTAAAAATGAAGGGATAGCAAGAATTTTAAAACTCCAAAAAAGGGCAGCAAGATTAATTCTAGATGCAGTTCCTTTATCCCCCTCAGCCCCCTTATTTAAAGAACTTGGGTGGATGACAGTTGACAATAGAATAAAATACCACAAATATTTACTTCTATATAAATGTATGCGTATGGAAGCACCAATGTACCTAGTTCAAAAGTTTAAACTGAAATCAGATAATAATCCTTACTCCCTGAGAGGCGTCACTCAAGGTAATCTGATAGTTCCTAAGCCAAAAGCTGAGCTATTTAAGAAATCTTTTGTTTATTCTGGATCAGTGTTATGGAATGGACTACCAAACAAAATGCGTAAAGCTCAAAACACTTATACTTTTAAACAAAGTATCAAGAAGTACTTAACACAGTCCTGATAAGATTATGTTTTCTACAATGTATTTGTATATTCTTTTATTTATATTTGTATTTGATTTTTTGACTACATGTACATCTTGAACAGTCTTATATCTTATCATGTTAGTAATATTACATTGAACTAATTGACTGTAAATTAACTATGTGTAAATATCTGTTTTTTGATTGTATTGTAATTTGTATGTGAGGGCCTCAGGGAAGATTAGTTTATTGTAACTAACTGAGTTTACCCTCTTTAAATAAAGAATTTATTATTATTATTATTATTATAAATGTAAGAATTGGAGTCAAATCGGTGAACATTAATTTGACAGCTAATGCCCCTTTAAATAACATAAGTCATTTCCACTTCTTTTTCATTTTCAAGTCTTTCTTACTTATGACATACCTTCAAAACATATCTGACTAGCTCTAAGTGCAGCTTGAATTTGATCTTCTTGAGGTAAGGTGTTTAGTTCTGTACTATCTAAATTATTCTGTATAGAATTTGGCTCATCAGGTAGAATGGTTCCATTTGTTATATCATTCTCTGAACTGTCTTCTGATGTAATAGGTGTATAATCACTAGCTGATGTTAAAGCCATGAAGACTTCTCCTATAGATTTTGTAGGTTCTGATTGGATAAATGCAGCATCATTGCATGTATTTGTATTGGCAGATAAATGTTCATGTGACTCATAGTTTTGAGCAAGGTCATTGTTTTCTTCTAATTTGATGCCAGTTCCTATAGGCTGATAATTATCCAGTAAGTTAGTAGCTGTAACTGGCTGTGTACTAAAACATTCCATAGTATTATTTTCATTTGTCCCTGGTATTAATATTTTTTGCTCAGTCTTGTTGTCAAAATTTTTCTTCGCATTTCTGGTATGAATACTAGAATCAGACTTTGTCATTATTTCTTGATTGTTTGTAATGCTTTTCATCTGTGTCTTCACTTCTGTCAAAACAGGTTGTTTGGTGGACCTATTTGGTTTTGTGTTACAGTCTTTGACAGTGACAGTATCATCTTGTACAACAATAATCCTTTGACTTTGTTTGACCTTGTCATTTTTTATCTTCATATCACTATGATCATAGGCTATTACAGTTCTTTTAGGTACCTGGAAATATTTATAACAGAGTTTGGACATTTCTTAAATTTCAGAAATATAAAGTATATATTAAAAAAATAAAAATATTTCAGTCATTTTGTTTTAAAAAAAGACATGAATGCATGACAAATATTTCAGGATCTTTGATTATAACATTGTATCAATAATGTGTTCTTTTAACAGTTTCCATGATTAATTATTATTATCAAATAATTGCTTTGTGTTCTAACAAGATATTTATAGTTTGCTGTTATTTGCAGAATTTTTTACAGTAATTACTAACTTAAGAATTTGTATGAATATTTACATACCCCTGATTACAACAAAATCGTAATTTCTGAATTGCAATCAATGACAAGCTTCAAATTCTCTCTTCATATTTTCTTTCAATCATATAGACATGTTTTATGAAAGACAATTGCTTCTATTGGGAAAAGTTCAATGTTAAATAAAAAACTTAAATTCAAATTAAGGTACACTAAACAATTATTTTATTGTTATGGTTTTTAGGTCAAATTTATAGATACTTTTATGTTTGTTATTGTATTATATTATAAATTTTCAATACACACTACTGGACATCACTTCATCTATCATAATTGATAACGCAAATGACAATATTCTGCATGTACAAATGTACATGTAATTACCATATTCTGCATGTAAATGTAATTACCTTCCTTTTTCTTCTGTTTGTTCTAGGTGTATATTCCTCATCCATGTCTTCATCAACAGAATGAGATAGGAATGTGGAAGTATTAGTGTTATACCTCCCAGATTGTTTTATTTCTCTTCCAAAGGCTGTGACAGAGGGTAACAGAATTTCACACATTGTACCACAGTTGACTAATCCTTGTTTTTTGATTGGATAGTTAGTCTGAACAGCTGTATCAGTTGTCTTAGGTTTCTCAGTCTGAACACATTTGTTACAGAATTCTTGTTTCACATATTCTGCTGACTGTTTTTTACCAGTTCTTAATAATTTTTGTAGTCTTTTCTGAAGCATCAACAAGGACCATAACTCTCCAGCAATAGTATAACTTTCCTCTTGTTTTGTAATTTGGAACACATCACCTTTTTCTAACTGGTTTAAGTAACCAGAATGGTTGGTAAACATCTCAGCACATATGTCCTCTGACAGAAATGCAACTACATGTGAAAATATCTGAAGAGACACAAGTAGAAATATGATGAGTTATTTCAATTTGCATTGCTACACCATTGTGCATTAATAAAGGGAATCTACTAGGTATCTGAACGTTTGTCGGTAATTTTTTTTTCACATTTTTCAGTGGTTGTTTCTTGATGAAATTTTCAGAAAATCTTCGATTTCAAATTGCATTGTCCACCTCCAATTTCATTTTTTGACATTTGATGTTCCTGGTGGCTACTACTTAAACATAGATTAAAAATGTCTTCAAAATCAACAAGTTTTCAAAATTTAAATCCCTGCTGACAGTCTTTGATTAATTGATTGATTGACTGTTGGTGGTTAATGCCACTTTCTGCAATATTGGCTATTTCGCAGCAGCCAGTTTAAATTGGTGGAGGAGTGCCCAGAGAGAACCACAACCTTCTGTAGGAAAACTAGCAATCCTTGTCAATTAATTATAATATTTGAGTTGAACGCACCTGCCATAAGCAGGGTTTGTACTCTCAACATCAGTGTTGACAGGCTAGTGATATAGTAGTTGAACTACTTAGACCACTTGGCCACAGAAGCCCAGTCTTTGAGAGAAAGGATATTTTAGATGTAAAACTGAACAATAATGAAAAAAAGGTCAAAGTCAGGTGACCCCTGTTAGACCAACATGTACACCTTTAGTCGCCAACTGATGATTTTATTAATCAAATATATATATACATTGTAGATGAATTTAGTGAGACACTGAATAATAAAGTAAATAAATGGAGAATGTGTCCCCAGGGACAAAGATGATGCCCCACGCTTGCATACAACATTATAAAGGGACATAACTCAAGAACGATAAGGTGACGCTACCCAAATTTGCATTTGATCTGAGTTTTAAGGTAATAAGTATTGTGTATAGGTTTCATAATGTTTGGTTGGGGTAAACTTAAGTTACAGAACGGAAACTAAAAATTTTGCAATTTTTCGATTTATAAAGGGGCATAACTCAATAACGATTAAAGTGACGCTACCAAAATTCAACTTGATCTGTGTTTTGTGGTAATAAGCATTGTGTATAAGTTTCATAACATTTGGTTGAGGCAAACTCAAGTTAGAGAACAGAAACCAATTTTGGGACGTACGGACGTACGTTCGTATGTACGTACGTATGGACGGACAAGGGTAAAACTTAATGTCCCCTCCGCTACAGCTGGTGCATAAAAACCTAAAATAGACTTTTATAGTAAGGTAATCAAACAATGCTCCTGAAATCAAGGATGACTGCTATTTTTTTTCAGATAGATAATTTAGACCATAAGTCATCAATATACAAAATATTGCATTGCCTGCCCAGATTTTCTATGTGTACCATCTGATATAATAAACTTATACACTTGGTTAAAGCTGTCCCAGTTTTAGGAAACATGTCTTGCATTATGTGACTTTCATTGCAGGTGAGGCAATAACCCAAAATGGAATTTCAACAAACCTTCTTTTCCTCATAAGGTTCATAAGGCTGTATTCTGTATTGTAGACTTATGTTACTATGAAAATTATCGGATGTCACATTGCCATTTGCAACCACATCAGGCATGTAGTCAGTGACAAAGGTCAATGTCTGGGTCATGTTGGGAACACACAACATTTGATTACCAACAATAGGGAGACCATCATTGGTTGAAATTTGATTTTCCACATTTCCTGATGAAGTAAATACAATCTGATTGGTACTTTCAATTAGACTTGATGCTTCAATGTTGTTTTGTGGTAAAGATTCTACACCATTAACAGACAGAATCTGTCCATTTTGTACATCACTAAGACCAGTCTGTAGGGTAATACCATGCTGGGCAAGCAGCCTGCAAATAATACATGATATACATAATGCAGTACTTTTACTTAAAGAACATGCAATTTGTCATACAATTTTTTTAATTGCACATACATGTTCATGTATCAACATGACAATAACATAAGTATTTGAGTTTTATTCCATTTTTAAAAATAATTTTTACTAAAAAAATTCAAATCTTGTTCACATGTGCAAAAAGCATATTTTAACACTAACTTTAAATAGATATTAACAAAAAATTCTTGTGACAGCTGTCAAAGCTAAAATTAAGATATTGACAATGATTGAGTCTTACTCAACAAGTTCTTTTAATATAAATTTATGCCCTCAATATAATTCCCTTGCTCTTCAAAAACCAGAAACTAATACCAAACTTTAACCACTAAAATCTGCAGAGACTGAAAATGGGAACTATGCATAACTTAGATATAACAAGAAATGATTGTAACAGGATGCTGTTACGAAGTCTCCCAAACGAAGCTCCCATAATTTGTAATTCCCAGGGTCTCCTGACATTGGGCAACGTCCAGTGAAAATTGGTTTGGTCCAGTAAAGTTATATGCATTAGTGATGCCTGGGGACTAACCTTGTATATCATTCAAATCATCTTGGCATGACAAACCAGAATATATATGATTTGGGGGTTGGGATCTCGACCATTTACAAGTTTCTAGAACATTGGGGGTGGGGAGGAACCCCTGGGGACTGGCCCATTACGTCATTCAAATGTTCATTACATGACGAACAGGAATATATATGGTTTAGGGGTGGGGATCTCAACCATTTACAAGATATTAGAACATTGGGGGTGGGGGGGGAACCCCTGGGGACTGACCGTATACGTCATTCAAATGTTCGAGACATGACAAATAGGAATATATATATGGTTTAGGGGTGGGGATCTCAACCATTTACAAGATATTAGAACTTTCTCAAATGGCAGGGGGTCGGGATGACCCCTGGGGACTAACCCTGTATATCATTCAAACCATCTTAGCATGACAAACCAGAATATATATGGTTTAGGGGTGGGGATCTTGGCCACTTACAAGATATTAGAACTTTCTTAAATGGCAGGGGGTGGGGGTGACCCCTGGGGACTTACCCTGTATTTCATTTGATGTGCTTTATCATGACAAACCAGAATATATATGGTTTAGGGGTGGGGATCTCGACCATTTACAAGATATTAGAACTTTCTCAAATGGCAGGGGGTCGAGATGACCCCTGGGGACTAACTCTGTATATCATTCAAACCATCTTAGCATGACAAACCAGAATATATATGGTTTAGGGGTGGGGATCTTGACCACTTACAAGATATAAGAACTTTCTTAAATGGCAGGGGGTGGGGGTGACCCCTGGGGACTAACCCTTTATTTCATTTGATGTGCTTTATCATGACAAACCAGAATATATATGGTTTAGGGGTGGGGATCTCGACCATTTACAAGATATTAGAACTTTCTCAAATGGCAGGGGGTCAGGATGACCCCTGGGGACTAACCCTGTATATCATTCAAACCATCTTAGCATGACAAACCAGAATATATATGGTTTAGGGGTGGGGATATTGACCACTTACAAGATATAAGAACTTTCTTAAATGGCAGGGAGTGGGGGTGACCCCTGGGGACTAACCCTGTATTTCATTTAATGGGCTTTATCATTTAGAACATTTTCAATTAAAAAGATTGTGTCTATCATAAACGGTTTTCAATTTATAATCATTTGACAATTTTAAAAAATAAAATCCCATAGGGTTCTATAGTAAAACCCTCTTTTCTTTTTGCCCCTCAAAGTACCCCTTTATTTGTTTGGAAGACTTAAAAATATATTAACTGGTAAAATATAAAACATTATTTTGTGACTTCCACACTTGTATAGTTTTCTTTGTTAAGTCAAATGGATACTTATAACAGTCCAGTCCTCCGACTCCTGTACATGTATGTACTATTTTCATAACTTCTACTACTGTATAGTTAGCTTTGAGATGTTTCTAAATTCCAGTTCTGTATATTTACCTTGTTAGGGCTATATTATTTGTTCCATCCAATTGAAGCAGTGGTATGTTTATAACTTCCAGTCCAGTTGTATTCTGGCCTTCTTGTTGCCTAATTTAAAGATAAATGTATAAGTAAATTATTGAACAAAAATGTATGTAAAAGACATGAAAAAAATACTATTATTCAACTTATATCATAATATCTAAACACTCTGTTCACTTTTAAGAAAATAAATTATACCATTCTACAGTGGTTATGCTTGAAAGACAGTTATTTACTTAAAACTGAAGTTTGGTATGCCAAACCACAAAACAAAAACTTTTGAGTACGCCAAACTACAAAACAGAAACTTAACTCATTAAATAAAACATGAAAAGGTTATAAGAATTACCAAAAATATAAGACAGTACAAAAGACTATTATAACATACTCTTCCGAGTAAATAAACATACAAAGACAAATAAAACATGATTCAGATAGCCTACATATATTTGGTGCAATTTAGATAGGCTACCAGCAATTCATAAAAGAATAACAAGACATTCTCTTTAACCCGTAAGGGATCAACAGAAATTATGCCGGGAATTAATTTTTTGTTGTTGCAATTTGTCAAGAGTAACTTATTGTTCATCCCTCAGGCATGACTTCAATTATGCAGGGTATTTTGAAAGGCTGCTAGCTACATTTATGTCTTCTATACACCTTATTGCTATTAAGTCAAATAAAATAAATGGGGAATGTGTCCATGGGACACAGATGATGCCCCCGCTTGCATATAACATTATAAAGGGACATAACTCAAGAACTGTAAAAGTTACGCTACCCAAATTTGTAGTTGATCTGATTTTTGTGGAAATAAGCATTGTTTATAAGTTTCATAACATTTGGTTGAGGCAAACTAAAGTTAGAGAACGGAAACCAACAATTTTGGGACGTACTGACATACAATGTAAAATGTACGTACGTACAGACGGACAAGGGTAAAACTTAATGCCCCCTCCGCTACGGCGGGGGCATAAAAAAACAGTCCCTTAGACAACTTCCTGTTTGTGTCAAGTGTCGCAAAAACAAAGGTCACCAGTAATGAGCTGATGGAAGAATTAGTTTTGAAGTGAACATTTTGAAATTTAAAGAGATTATGGTCCAATTTTTAAAACAAAAATTAAAGTCATAAAAATGCTTAGTTAGAAGTGTTTACCATGGTTTAAATATGTCTCTTTGAAAAGTTTATGCACAATACATTTTTCTAACAGGGCCCAAGATAGCTGCAACAAATCATGTAATTTCAGAACTTATCCAGACTGGAAGAAATAGTGATAAGGTGTATTCAAATCATACCTGCTCCAGGTGTACGGGATGATGATGTAGGCGTAAAAGGCATTGGTTCAAGGTGAGGTAGTTTATAAAAATATTCCTGACTAAAGTTAATAGGGCTTGATACAGGATTCTGAGGGCAGCCAATTCAGAAATATCGCTTCATACACAGAATCAGAAAAGGGATACTTACAAAGGTACAAAATGTAACACCTGCCTCATATTAACCTTCATACCAGTATCTCTAACAATGGGTTGACAGGAGACATTATACTGTTATGTTCACTTATATTTAACTATTATTTTATCGTACACATGCACTCAATTGCCTACAGTGCAGATGCTCATCAATAAAAGTATAAACAAAAAGTGGTACTCGAGATAGTGGATGAAAGCTTAAGAAGAATCCATGACAACTCGCCCACTTATGAAAAGGGTAAAAATCCTGTTAAATTTACTCCTGCTGACAAGCCACACTTATGGAAAATAGTAAAATCCTGATGAATTTAGTCCTACCAACTCGCCTGACTTATAGATAAGATAAGATAAGATAAGATATTTTATTTTCCAAATTAGGTCCCCAGGGGGGGCTTACACACATAACAAATATAATCGTTACAACATACAGTATTTTACATAACATTCATATAATACACCTCAAATATATATATAAAGTTATACAGGCTATTATATGTTAAATAAAAAAAGTATTTAAGAGTTGCTACTCCAGAGATGTGGCAAACGTTTTTCTCACTTGAATTCATTTGCAGTTGTTTTTATTTTATAACATTTTGCTGGAAATGTGTAAATATAATTGATTGTTTATAAGCTGCAACAGGTACCAAGGGACGATGCTCTAGGATTGTGAGCTTAATAGCTTTAACAAGCCTCCTCGTATCTGATGCAGAGAAACAAACATAAATGTAACAAAAGTTCAAGTTTATTCACAGCAAATAAAATATACTGCAGTAATAGGTATTGAGAATAGTGTAGGTTTCCCTACTGCAACAGACACAAAGGGGCGGTACTCAAGGAGCTGTGTTATTTACACAGTCCTCCTCGTGTCTGAAGCAGACAAGAAAGCCACATGATTAACAATTATTAAAAATAAATTTACCAGCAGCAGTGAGAATGGACTTATCTCCTGTGTTCATAAGCCATATCAGTTTATCTCTTGAGTTTAGAGTTAAAAAATTGGAGCAACTTTTAGTTATTTTATTAAAATAGATGAATGCAGTCATCATTAAATTTAACACATTGAAATAGAAAATGATATTCATCCTCCATATCTTCGGAGTTACAATGAGTACAAGTTCTGTCATTTAGGAGAGTACCCTGATACCTTCCGGACTCAATTCTTAAGTGGTGTGATGAAATTCTGAGCTTTGTTAAGCTTCGTCTCTGTTCATAATTCCCCATAATGGAAAGATATTTTTCTCTTCCAAAATTTGATTTAAATGTAACATAAGTTCTAAGTTTACCATCTGAATACTTTATCAGTTCAGTGTGCCTTAAGTCTATAAAGTATGATCTTAAATTTTTTTTTATATCAGCTTTGAAGCTTTTAATTTTTGGTAATGATAAAAATATATGATTGATGTCTGGGATAATTTCAAGGGCTGACTTCATAGAGACATACCAAGATGGTTTTTTTGAATGAAAAAGATTTTGTGATGTTACATAAGCGTCTTTGAGAAGAGAAAATCTGGAATCAAGATTTTCCAAGCGATACCTGTAATTTAACATAGATTTAATTATATCATAATACATGTATAATGGGAATCGCCCTAGCTCAGATAAAATTCCAAAATTTGTGGATTTTTTATGAACACCTAAAACAAGTTTACTAAATTTGATATGTAGTCACTCACATTTTAAACTGGAATAGACTTTATCAAATGGTAAAGTTCCATTTCTGAATCTTGCTCATATTTCAGACCCATATAGTATTGGTTTTATGGTATGATCAAATACATGTAAACTGGTACTTATGCTTGGATTAAGTGATAACAAATTCTTATACAATTTATAATAAGCCTTCAAAGACTTTTTATACAGTTTAGTCTGAGCATATGAAAATGACCCTGATGCACTAAAGTGCAAACCAAGGTATCTATAATTATGAACACTATCAACCAACTTATTTTCATAAGTAAATTTTACACAAATGTGTCTGCCTGCTTTGTTGAATATCATGATCAGAACCTTTGTTTTGGTGGGATTTACACTAAAACACCAATCTTTACAATACTTTTCCAGGATGTTTAATCTTGTTTGCAATTCTTTAGCAGATGTTGATAAAAGGACCAAATCGTCTGCATACAATAAGCAATTAACTGGTTTATCGTTAAGTATAACAGGGTCTTCACTTTCTTGTAAATACTCTAGCAAGTCATTTATAAATAACTTGAATAGATTGGGACTTAAATTGTCCCCTTGTTTTATCGGGAAAAAATCTGTTACTCTGGATTGAATCTTAATGCAAGATTTACTTGATTCATACATGTGTTTAATAACATTATAAAATGAAGTACCTACTTCGGCAGATAATAATTTTAACTTGATACCGGTATGAATGACAGTGTCGAAAGCTTTCTGAAAATCCACAAATCAGGCATAAACCTTTCCATCCTTTGAATTACAATATTTATCAAAAATACATTTAATAATAAACATGTGATCTGAAGTTCTAGCTTTTTTTGTAAAACCTAATTGACATTCATGAATTAAGTTATTTTTCAACAAGAGTGCACACGCTGAAATGTCTCGCCTTCTTTACTAACCATTGATTTTATGTTGATAGTCCTAAATATAAAGCTTTACTACAAGTAACACATAAACTTAACATGATCCAAGAAAATGAGGTCAAGGTCAGATAAACCAAACGAGAAATACATGTACACCTTACAATCATTCAATAAACCAAACATAGTTGACCTATTGCTTATAGTTTCTAAGAAACAGTCTTGACCAAGAAAACTTAACATTGACCAATGAACCATGAAAATGAGGTCAAGGTCAGATGATACCTGCCAGACAGACATGTACACCTTACAATCAATTTATGCATTAAATATAGTTGACCTATTGCTTATAGTATCTAAGAAACAAACTTAACCATGAAAACTTAACATTGACCAATGAACCATGAAAATGAGGTCAAGGTCAGATGATACCTGCCAGAAAGACATATGGGTCATTATCAAAAAAACATGCAAAACTATGTTATTTCTCTTTTCAAGTCAAAAGACATGAAACTATATCAAAATGTATCAAAATAACTATTGCATATGAAAGATATGAATGTTTTGTGATACACTATACACAGTTTACAGTATGAAATGTTATAAAAACATTCTTAATTTTTTCTCAAACCCTTGGATATAGCCAGAATCAACTGTTATTTTTTACTATAAATCCCTTCAGACCTGAAATAGGGCTATTATTCATATCATTTGTTGTTAGAAATTATCACTTTTTATTGCATTTGATACATACAAACATTTTTTTAATGATTTGGAAGGTGTATGTTGGTTTTATAATAAAAAATTTAACCAAAAGGAAAAGTCTCATTTTTTAAGTCAATGGTGTAACCAAAAGACAAATTGGTAGGGTAAGAGTTATCTTTCTCAATATTTCAGCATTTACAATAGTTTCTCCCTTAGCAATGTTACCTGTAAGCATGCTATGCAAAAGAAAACAAACATTTATGTTGAAAATTTAGTAAAAAATATTAAAAGTAAGTACAAGATATATCGTAATTGAAAATAGTGTCCATGGTGTACCCTTATAAA